AATCTACAAAGAAAATTACATTATTTCAGAGTTACAAATTCAGGCGAATGAAACACATGAAACCAAGACATACAGCAGTTTATATAGATTTACACCATATTGCTATAAGTTGGTTGAGGTGCTTTTAAATTTACATGAACGGTGATGGTGTCCTAACTGGGATCCTTTGTTTATGGATCCCAGTTCTAACAAATACAAGTTTAAGTTTTTTGTATATAAAATAACAAAGCTGGTGCAAAAAGCAAGTCTCACTTGAACATAAACTGTAGGGCTAAATTCTAAACCGGCCCCTTAGCACTAGGGTCTGCAATATTAAGGACCGTCCAAAACCTTACAGTAGATTGGGTGAGTCGGCTGTTTAACCCTTAAATAGCGAGTCTGCATCATTGTACGCTAATTAGAATTTAGGAGCGGGTAACCTGATGGCAGAGGAAACATGTGCATTATAATGTACGTAGTTCCGCTGGTTTGCTGCATTTTCATCACACAGAAAAATCAGTTAGGAAAAAAGAAAAAAACATGTTTTTGATCCCAAAAGGGATGGTCCTCATTGAAATGGTTTTATTTTACCATATACATTTTTTTTTGAGTAAGGGGTAGATTTTTAATTTCATGTCAATCTGTGCCACTGTGCTGTCCCGGCAACAAAATTGTTTTGTGCCCATCCCAATGCTTCAGTGGGATTTTTTGGGTAAAATTGTTGTGTAAAAGCATAAAGCACAATTTGGAATAATTTCACATATTTAGAGAGGTTTGGAGACACTGGTGACACCAGAGGTTAAAAGTCCCATAGCTCTGGAACTGTTATACCTAGAGGTCTGACTTTTTCTGCAGTTGTGGTTGACTTTATTCAGAATAAATGTAATACAATGAGATATGCCTATTGTCAAGTATGTCTTTGTTGCTGCTATTCAGAAAATACCTTTATTTCACAGAAGGAAAAAATACAACTTGAGTCGTGTTTGAACTGATGCAGTGTTTATTAATATTTTCAGAATATAAAAAGTGTTAGCTTTCAAATAATGTATCACATGTAATTTGGGCGCACAGTTCCCTAGTTATTTGCTTTTCCATTTGGTTATGCAAAAAGGTAAGAATTATTTCTAATTAAGTTGGTGTTAAGGCTTAGTAGTTAGGGGGCAGTTTGGGATTGGGCCTATGTGTGTCTCTGTGGTGCATTATTCGTTAAATCAAGTCTGTTATTTTTCTTTTTTTAGTTACGTTTCTCAGGAGGAGTTGCCAGAAATTATACTCAAGAAAGAGTGATGATAATTCTTCATACTATTAGGCTCTATATGAATAAACTAAAATTAGTAAAAGAGTTGGCCTCGGCAGATGGTTGCTCACACTGGTTCTGCTGGAGGTTTCCTCCTGTTTAAAGGGAGTTTTCCTCTCCACTGTCGCTACGAACACACTAGATGCGAGGGATTGCTGAAGTCAATGGGATGATGCAATCAGTTTGTTTTCCATAAATTGAAAAGTTTGAACCAGTTTGACTGTATGATCTGCTTGAATTGTCTCTCTAAAGTACCTTGAGATGACATATATTGTCAATTGTCACCAAATAAATTGAATGGAATTGAAAATATACAGTACAGCAAAACTACCCCTAAAAGTACATTTTCTTTCAAACAGTTACTCAAGTATTTGTAACTGAGTAAAGTGTGTTTTCACCTCTGTTTGTAGTGATGTTGTAGCTGAAGACGTTGACAAAGCTAAAGCCTAGTATATGATGCAGAGGAAGCTGAGAAGTTTCCACCAAGGTAGAGCTCCAGAACAATTTCTATATCTATAAGGACAATATATGTCTCACCTTGAATATAATTTACTTTTTCATTGATTCACTATGCACAATATTTCATATGGATTTAGATTTTAGCTCATTAAGACGTTTCTGATACGCGGCAATGCTAGAATCAGATGAATGCATGTAGGTACAAATGCATTTTTATGAACTATGCAGAACAATGTCAATGTACGAACACATTTCAAACTCTAAATACATGCAGAAAATATTTTATGTTTTTGAAAATAAATCTTCAGATCTTCTAACATAGCTGGCAAGTTTTGTAACATCAGGATGCAGAATGGTAGAGGAATGAATGCAAGGAAATAAAGCCTTTTTAAAACCTACTGATAAGTGTGTGGTGCTAGAGCTTAGAAAAAAGAAAGGGAAGTGCAACAGTTTGAAAGATACATATTTTTAATCTTTAGCATTTCTTTAATAAATGCTTAAAGAAATTAGCATTTTTGTGCCTCCATAAGAAGTACAGTGACGTTTCTAGTAGGCAACAGAATAAACACTCACCTGGATTTCAGATCATCAAATAAACGCTTAAAGAGAAACAGTGAATTTAACGAAGGTGGAGTAAAAAAAATGTATTTAATGCAGGCAGATGGAGATTAGATTTAGTATGAAATTAACTACAAAGTGCACCAGCATGGAATTATGAGATTTTCACAGGATAAAGGTCTCACACATGAACACCCACTCGGTCAGATTTGTGAAGGAGCTGTGATTGAAGCTGCCGGCTAAATTAAGAGGAAAGAGAGATTAGAGGCTTAAAGGAAATCAAGCCAAGGCTGTTGTTCCCATTTTGGGCTGTTTGAAATTAGACTGAATACTCAATGAATCTAGGTGCCATACTTCTGAGAGAATCAGTCCCACCGGTAATGCAAATTAGCCTCCATATTCACACAATAATCAGATGATGTGCTGCTTTTTTTGAAGCCAGAGCGTGCAGTTGCTGCTGCTTTTTGCAGCACAGAGCATCTTGTGTCTTAGAATAAAGAATTCATTTATGGTTGACAGCATTTTTGGGTTGTTGGACGATTATGAAATCAAGTATGATTCACATTTTGGGGATTTATTTCCGACCAGTTTGGGGATTTTTTTTTTATCAAAGAAAAGATTTTCTGTTTAGAAAGAAACAAATGTCTGCTTTCTGACAATCTTTCTTCATTTATGCCATAAAAACTCCTGTAGCAGTTATTAGGATTCATCTCTGCTCAGGTTCACTATACACTGTCTATATCATTAGAGTGAGGAATGGAACCTACACAAACTTATAAAAGTATTCATTCCCCCTGATCTTTTTCCTGTTTCTTTTTCACGCTACAACCCAAAAACCTCCAAGTATTTTATATATCTTTTACATAAGAAACCACAAAGCATAATAATTAGAAAAATAATTGAACTTTATTAATCTCACACTGGAGAAATTAACTCTCTGCCTTTAACTCATCCCCTTGGGGAGTAGTGGGCTGCCACTGTGCGGCACCCGAGTAGCAGTGTGGGGTTAATGGTCTTGCTCAGGGACCCAGGGTGGCAGTCCGTGGGAGTGGGGCTTTAACTCGGAACCTCTGGATTCCAAGCGCAACGCCCCAACCACTAGACCACCCCTCCTCCCATCATAGTGCATCATTATGAAGATGAAGACAAATTATATATTGTTTTCATATGGTTTACAAATAAATGTGGGTGATGTTGAGACACCTTAAACATAGAGCTTCAAGTCTAATTCATATCTAATATGGGTCTAATGCATATTCCCTCATGTATTACTAGTAGCTCAGCCTGTAGTTGTAGAGAACCTCCACCATCTTCTAAAGACCCTGTAGCGCCTTATGTTTGGAGTTTTCCGAGTGCAGCTCTGACCACCTTCAAAGCCACAGCCTCTTTGCTGAAGAAAAACATAATGCTGCCTCCACTATTAGTCTCCAGAGGCATGGTATGTTCATCTAATGTCTTCTTGTCTCATCTCAACCAAAAAAAAAAAACAAAAAAAAAAAAAACAAACCCAGAACCTATAGCATATTTTTTTTTATAATGCACCTCTAAAGGTATTCCCATCTCTGAAGCTCCTATGGTCCTCTTGGCTAATTCTCTAATTAGGATGATGCTCCTCTTACCCAGTCGGTCTGTTTAGGTGGAAATTTTTGTCTTGGGAGGTTTGCAGTCACATTTTCCTTTGATTGGTTGATCTGTGCTGCATGAGGCATGCAAAGGTTGCTGTTTTATGATCCATCTATGCTAATTGCAAACTAAATGCAATTGGTTGCTCAGGATTTCATTGAAGGGTATTTTATAAAATAAAACAATTTCCTTTCTGCAATATGCGCCGCTTTGTATAGCCTTACAGATAAAAGAAAAAAACAAAAAACAAATAAAACTGTAAAATAAATGAACATTTGTTGCAGTAAGAAGTAATTTTGAAGGTAAAGGACTGAGCACTTTTCTGAGGGTTGTTCATTCTGAATAAACAACGTTTTAGAACATTATTACCTAAAATGGTTCTCCTTGGACTGATGTAAGAGTGGGAACATGAGAAAGCTTTGAGCAGAATCGATTCAGTCAAGTACTCTCAGAGTGAAGATCTGACGAGAGAATTATCCATGCACCATTTCCCATCCTGCTCCTGTTTGGAAAATTTCCGCAGCTTCAGCCCCCTGGTAGCTTTCATCCTGCAAAAAACAAACAAACCAAAAAATTAAAATAAAAAATACACACACACTGTTCTGGGTAGGACGTTTTTATTGTAATTATTCTACATCTGAATGTTCCTTTTCCTGTCAAAACAGATTACAGGAATAAAAGAAACAAAATAAAATTGTAGAAAAATGCATTCCATAACATTCCCTGAGCTCACACTGAACATCCTGGGGGTCTCTAAGAGCTGCCATAAAGTTTAACTCTAATATGACCGTTATTTCTTATGAGGAGATTATCAGAATTAACATAAAAGATGAATAATAAAAAAACTGTGACACATTGCATTGTCTTCATACGCGCTCTGCCCTGGGAGGACACTCCTCCTCCTCCCGTTTCTCCGCACCCGAGTTCTCCTGAATAATATAGGACAACTCCCCAATTCCCTCCCATTCCCACACGCAGCGGCGCCTCCATCCAATGGCAAACAGACCTATTTTTTTTTCATCCAGCTATCCCTTCAGAGCCAATCCCCGTTGCTCCAGTGATCCCTGTAAACCGGATGCCCTTCCCTTCGGCCCCTCAAATGCAGCGTAATCAGTGGATCAGATCAAGGGGAGGCAGACGCACACAGACCTGGTCTCAGATCAAGGTGCTGAGGAGGAAAAAAGAAGACATTGCATCAGTCCCGCCTCGACTGGAAAGTGAATCCTGATGCGTTAATGTCAAAAGATGAAGGAAAAATGATGTGAGTATGAAATCATACCAAAAAAGAGAAGCAACCCAGAATAGATAGATGACTTTAAATGGGGGGAAAAGTCCAAGGAAACAGATGCAGCAGTTATAGAATATACTATTGGTAATTAATAGATGTATAAAGGCTTTGGATATGCGCGTAAAATGAAGGTTAAACTCTGTGCGGCTTTGGCGCTCAGCGCTCTAACCAGCGCGTTTCTATTTGTTCCACATCCCTTAGTTTCTAGTATAACCGGGAATGAAAGCTTTTCTACGTGCGCTTAACTTTTCCATCCTTTTTTTAAGATGTGTGTAGACGTAGCGGATCTCCCTTCTAAGGCAAAGTTTTTTGCGCAGCTTCAGAAGCAAAGAGCAGGTCTGATGGCTCCAGAAAAATCTAACTTTGATTCATTCTTTCTGCCAGACAGCGTCATTGTTCCACTACTTGGTGAGGGCTGATAAATGGTGGCTATCATATTTTGCTTTTGAGCTGAACAATGCGCACTGGCTTTGTGTGGACCATCTGTCATTATATCGACATTACAGCACCCCCCCACCTCCATCCTGTTCCCCCTCATAGACACCTGAAGAGCTACGGAACAGACAGCCATCATTCAGAGCCACCACCCGTCTCCCTCCCTGCCTGAGTCATGATGCGATCCGGCTGGGGTGGAAGCGTGCGTAAAACCCGGACGGAAAACCCCCAGAATAGACATTCCTCCGAACAAAGTGGCGAATGAAGAGATAAATCACAGATACATCACTCGCAGATATATTCTTCAACAAAAGGTTTGGAAGAGGGCGAGCAGCAGGGTTTTGCGCATCTTCAATTCTCGGAAACGATCTCTGCGCATCTGACTTCCTGCACGTTCTTAAAAAAAAAGAAGGAAAAAAAATAGCCAGACTGCCATTTTCAGGATGGGCACTCAGAGAGGATGCAAACGCTCTAAATAAACATACTTCAATCAGACGCGCTGAAGCTCCAGGGGAAACCAGCCCACTTTAAAGTAGCTGAGACATTATTTTTGTTGCTGTTAAAATTACCCTGCTTGGGTTCTCACTGTGCAGTGCCAGGCACTAATATGCTCTAAGGTTAATGAGGCAGTCTCCATTAATTCTTCTGCCATCTGGATACATTAGATCTAGTTGCTTAAAGCTGCACTAACAATGAAATCTGTTGTGAGTTAGTAAAAAAAAAAAAAAAGAAGTAAAGTGTGTTCTTTTAGAAGCAATTCTTTTTATGTAAACATCTAGAACCATTTATACATATAAAGCATGTTGAAAAATGAATGATCTAGAGCCAGCCCTGGGTATAAGCAAACCTAGCTGCAGTTTGGGGGGCCCAGGCCAGCAGGGGGCAGCCAAAAGCAGGTGCAACAGAGCTGATGAAAGTAGAAACGAAGAAGTTAAAATACATAAATAACATAAATAAGCATATAAGTGCTATTAAATTGTAATTTTTGTGAAGAGCCGTATAAATTTGCTTTAAAGGTTTATAAACAGTAAAATGTAAGATGATAGATAGATATGCATCTGTCGATATAGATAGATATAAATTGCAGTTTTTAATGTTTGTTCATAAGTAAATCAAATTAAAACCTTTACTACTGAACTAAGCCTCTATTGAAACTTACTATCTTGAACATGACTGACAAAATGAATAATTCAAAGAAATAACGTTTAATTCAATGCATATTTATTGTTCTGTTTATAATCATGTTATATGATGACTTACATGAGGGTCAACAAAAATATAACCTCCAGATATATAATCAGTTACACAATGTATAAAAGGCATAATCTCTTCAAGCTTGACCCAAATAAAGGAGATTTTATGGTGCCGGGGTGACTGAATTGGGGGCTCTTATTATATTCTGCTTAGGGACCTGAATTTTCTTGGTTCGGCTCTGGGCCCTGATGTGATGCAGACTGATGGTTTCCAGTTATATCTCCTCCAGGACCAAGTTCTAAATACATCATTTCAGCTTAGTTAAAGGTCTGTGTCTCCTCAGTTTCCAGTTGATCAGATGGCGCCGTTAGAAAGGAGTAAATGAACACAGAAAAATCACATTTCCTTGTTGCTGCTTACATGTTGGAGAAAGGACAGTTTGATGTCATATCTTCAGCTGAAGCTATGATCATCATTCTTGTGTAATTCACTATAACCAATGATGACGAGCATCGGCTCCAATCTGCAATTCTGTGTTACTACATGGAAGATGCTAACATCTGCGAATCGCTGCTTAATACTGAACTCTTGAACATCGATTGATGTTATACCTAATATATGCTTTATATTATCTCTATGTATAAAGATAATGTTAGCTACCTCAAAGCAGCCTTTGTATTTATTTAAAGAAAATATAAAATGCGACAAAGTCTTTTTTATAATGATCTAAATTTGCTGTTTGCATGCATATCAAGGCATTATGCAGTTATTGTTTACGTATTTGAAATGAACTGAAACATTTCAATTGTGATTTCATTTATGGACAGTAATCCTCTGAATCCTCTTATTTAGAGTTGCCCTCTCAAAGAGATTGAGATTTTCTCCACCTTTAAGAGGAACGTTGATCTGCACACTGCTGATCAGCTGGCAGAGAGGCCTGCCCTTGTTTTTATGGAAGACCAAATCAGCTAAGAAATAACAAAAAAACAACAAAAACATAAAAAAAAAACTAGTAGTGTGAAAAGAACATTAAATGGTGCACTTAACAACCGATTTATGCTTTTATATGGATTTAGATTACAACTGATATTGCTGCTGGTTAATGATATTAAGTCCACTAGCTGGATTCCAGCATATTTATCTGCACCAAGCACCTTTATCACACAGAAGGTTTAAAAGCTTGCAACAAGTATTTCTCCTGTTATTGAAAGAGAAAGCGTTGCAGGGACCCCAGCAGCAAAGGGTAACGTAGAGCTGCCCCTTCCAAACTTGTTTAGTGCGCATTGCTAGTCAGCTTTATGAAAGAAGATCACTCTTTGTTTCCCTTGCTTTTAAGAAAGGAAACTGTACCTGCTTGATGTGGCAGCTTAAAACCAAGATGCCCAATTTTAGCTAGAGTGCATTCTGTATTTTTGTTTCCATGTATTAAAATCAAACAAAAAACTAAACACAGCAGATTGTTTCATTGTTATACCTGACATATTATTGCAGCAGTATTGTAGTTGCTTTCTGTCTCAAGTAAAACAATTCAAACCTCCTTAATTTTTAAATACGTTTGTCTAAACATGTTTTTTTTAAAGCCTTTTTGGCTATATTTTTGTGACGCCTGGTACGTTATTGTTTTTGCATCTCAAAATGCACTTCATATAATTTACAAAATAATTTTTTTACACATATGTGGATCAAATGGATCATAAAAAAGCCTGCATGAATACACAGAGGCAGCAGGAACCGTCGTGGGAGTCGTTGTGTGTTTGTGCTTCCCTGTGCAGCCAAGGGTAAATGGAAAGGTTAGGTAATGGAGACCCCTGGCCCCCGCCTCGGGCATTGCGACATACTGCCTATCTAGATGAGTGGTTGACCTCTGACCCCCCGTCTAGCCGAGGGCCCGGGTCTGTTAGGGTCAAGCCAGGTGGCTTTCAAGAGCCTATTGGTCCGTTTAGAAGCACATGGCATTTGAACCCGTTGCACTCTAGAGCCAAACGCACTCCTCTGGTTAATTAGGAAACCCTCACAAAGTCTGTGTGTGTGTGTTTGAATGTGAGTAGGGATATAATTAAAGAATCTAATTGTATTTTAGCCTTTTTATTAATGCAAATTGTTTTGTTTTTTTGGGAAATATGCAAACAGCAAAACACCACTTGCTGCAGGGCATACCTTTGATCAGCACCAGGTTTCATTTAGTAAGGCTCCTGTCTTCATGCCTTTAATCGCAGAATTCTTGCACTTGCGCTAGCTAGCGCCGGTCATGTCGCAGCTGAGAGAAACAGCCTGTCTCCATTCTGTCACAACATGCTTTCTTATTGTATCACCGCGCTAGACACTCCCCGTGGAAATTTTGGAATCTTTCCCATTGTCCCTGAAGGAAGGGGGGGAGGGAGTGGGCTTTCATATGGAAGTGGGGAACGCCAGGAAATGACAGGCATTCTTTGTGGACAATTTAAAAAATAAACTTGTGGCTCTTTGCCTCTCTCCCTACAGCTGAGTGAAGAATAGAAATTAGAGGAGAAGCTTGAAGATTAACGACGCCTTGGTGACATTTTTTCACTTTCTTACATTTTATGCAACAGTCTGCTTTTAAAGTGTATTTTTCTATTGATCGCACCTAAAAGAGGGGCCATCAGAGCCTGAAGCTTTGGAAGCTTTTGTCAGGAGATTTTCACTCTTTTTTCTGCAGGTTTTTTGAATGAATGGATTGCATTCTTTATTTTCCTCTTTATTTGTCCTTATTTTACCTCACCTTCCTTCCCCCTGACTTTAAACTCAACCCTGCAGCTGGAGCTTTGCTTTATGAGGTGTGACAGTGAGGCGCGGTTGTTGGGACAGACTGCTTGGACTGGAACGTATGGCTTTACATTCACCACACTTTGAATTTACTTGAATTTACCGTATACATTGGCTTGCATGCAGGAACTTTCCTAGTTCTGCTGAGCAGGCATGAAAGCACAAACTAAGAAAAGAAGAAAAAAAAGAGTGTGAGATAAAAAGAGAGAAGGGCTTTGTTTAACCTTACAGGCTCTTACAGCTGCAGATAGAGTGGGTACATTTATATAAGAACAGCTGCAAAAATAAAAGGCACTTATAAATAGACTAAATTAAAGTTAAACAAGATGTTATTTCAGTTTTTTGTTGATAATTAGAATGGGCTGGTGTAAGATTATTACTATGTAGTAACCTTGTAGTAGCAGACCAAATACAAAATGTTTAATGTATTTGCTTTTTTACATTTGCTTTTCCTGCACCATTTGCCTTTATTTGAAAGTAAACAGGAAGAGGGTGAATCTTTCCAAATAAGTTGAAAAACAATCCACTGGACTTTGTTTCCATGTTTGAAGACATTTCGCTTCCCATCTAGGAAGCTTTTTAAATTTAAGATGTCAGAAATAGCGTTGAGTTCAAAGCTGTATAGAGTGGACCAAGAACAAAGCCTTGTTTTGGATTAGAAGAGGGTGAAGAAATGCAGCAAAGGTGTCAAATGTAGTTTCCATCTCGAAAGCAAACTGACAGGCAGCACACAGCAACATGTTGGGCAGGGGCAGCCCTCCATTACTCCATGGTCCCTTAAAGCCACTCAAAGAGCTAATTTTATCAGCATTTTCTCTTTCAAATCCTTTTTTTTTTATCAAATAGAAAATGGACTCTCGAACACTGTCCAACTTGCAAAAGAACACATTTATTTGCCGCGTTTTGGTACCATACCATCATTAGGCACTCACTCTTTCATCCTATCAGAAATACTTTCATATAAGTTTATTTTGTGTTTTTAAAGCAGTAGTTGTTGAATAGGGTAAACATTTATACTAGTAACTACTTCCAGCTAACACAGCTCTCCTATTAGGTGCGATAAATACACTAACAGAAGCATTGGTTTATATCTGCCATGTTTTTTTTTTTACTTGCCTTTTTTCAACCAGAACTCCACTACTCTGTAGCTTTTTCTTTTATAATTTTTCAAGAATTTTAAAGGATTTGAAACTGAAGGACATCTATGATGAGAAATTTGCACAGTTTTGGAAACCTTGAAGCCGGTAGCTGGCTCAAACCTTGTTTAGAGCTCTTCCCATCTCCTTTTTCTGTCCTAACTCCAGCAGAAATTTCACACCTTACCCTCCACCCCTCCATTTCTGCCGCTCTTCCCTCTCTTCCTCTTGTTGTTTTTCCCAACAGGCCTGGGGTAGTTCCCTGGTATTTGACCAGCGTAGCGTAGCTGGGAGGCCGGTTGTTCCCTCCTCCGTGAGACAAAGGCAGCGTGCCTCAAGGAGAGGGATGAAAGGAAATGGGGTTTAGCAGCCACTCCTGTTTACAATGGGAAACCTCCTTAGTGAGGTTGTAGAGCAAATAACCACAATCTCTCCGCTCTGTTTTGATGTTGTTTCTTTTTTAACAAGTGCTGAGACTGTGAGAGTGTGTCTCCAGCTCTTTGTTGGAGAATCACTGCTGGCTACGTAAAAACCGCACTGATCTAAGTCCTGTGTGAAGAAGGGGTATTCTTACATCTATAGAGTGAATATCAGCTTTCTCTTCCTTACACCTGTTTAGTCTGCGCTGGCAGATGGCGCCTCATTTTTTCAATACATTCCTTCTTGTGCAGTGTTGCAGCTTTAGACTGAGAACAGAAGAGTGTGAATTAGTTAGAACAAAAACAAAAACTAAAAATTTGAGATTTTTAGAGATATAGGAAATAAAAGAGCATTCCTTTTTATCTATATTTGTGATTTTTGCATGCAGAAATGCTACAAATAAAACCTTGTAAAAATGTGTACTACATGGACAGTAAAAGCTAAGCCCTAATACACATTTTGAAAACATCATGGATTTAAAAATGGGATCCATTCAAAAGCTTAGCAATTAACTTCAGTAAACAAAAAAAAGAAGAAGGACAGATTTTTAAGATGATGCAGTTTTTCAGATGTTCAGAAGTATGCAATAAATTCAAATAAAAATAGCACCTCAGATAATGTGGGACAACATGAGTAAAAAGGATATTCTCCTTCATATATATCAGAAACCATTTGTTTCCAGTAAAATGTCTAAAATTCTAAAAATTCAAAAAATATCCACTGGACTTGGTTTTCAAGATTTGAAGACGTTTCGCCACCTCTTTATTTTGTATTTTACTCCAATTTTACTCCAATTCAGACATAAACTCAAAAACCACAGAATTTTCTTTCATACTATTTCAGTAGTTCAGGCTCCTGGTGTAAGGCCCCCCTCCTCAACCTGTTTCTTTGCACTGTCTGCCGACTGGTAGAAAAAAGGCTGAAACACTTTTATCACGCAAACAGGAAAGAGGATAGAACACTTTCTATATTATTATGCTTGTGAAAATGATGGAGATTGATGGTGTGCAAGCTGAAAGAGCTCCACCCATCTCTCTCATTAAGGCGTTTTTAAAACGACAGTTAAGGCATGAACACACTGGTTGCGTACGACTTTTTAATCTCCGATCAGATTTTTTTCCATGTCACACTGATGGATGCTTGATAAAATGTGTTCCCAAGGTTACTGCACTAGCTGATGAAAACAAACTTATTTACCAATTCATATCATTTTGTTAGATTTAGAGTTAAATGGTTAAAAAAAACAATAAGCACATTGTATAGATATGATTTTAGGCAGTTTAATCAATATTTTACATTAAATTTATTGCATTTGTGTAAAAACAAAAACTATTAAGTCGTGTTGTATACATTTAAAAAAATATATTTTATTGTGTTTCAACCAATATACCTTTAGACTACAGTATTTGTATTACTTACTTTAATTCCTGCTAATGCCCATCATGTCTTAGTCACACTTTTTGAGTCAGAAATGAGTCAATTTTGGGGTATTGCTGTATGTCACCTGATAGCCTGGCTTTTTCACATACTGATGTTTTCTGTCTTTCTTTCATATTGAATCTCAGCTGGCTCTGATCTGCTGCTGCTCTGTCATCATCTTGGACCATTGGTGGTGGCCAGGGGGAGGGAGCGGAAGCTGCAGGAGACTTTTATGGTTCCAGCTCTGGAGACAACCTGTTCACAGGCACCTCACTGCTGGCACTCTTTTATGACATCATAAACCCCCCCTCCATTTCCTTTGACCAGCCTTAGGTGGGTATATAGAAGGTACCTGTATGTCTGTCTGTCTAGTCCCCTCCTCTGTAGTATTCATCTTGATGATGGGGATTTCCTTTAGAACCAAGGTCTCGTATCATCTTAGGATGAACAAATATTGACAGTTTACCAATAAAAATAAATAATCATATAACAAGAGACAGATTTATTCCAGCTCTAGTGTCCTTTCTTCTTCTTCCTTCATCATTCCACTTTTAGAGGAGTGTCGGCCTGCTCCTCTTGATGCATCTGTGCACACTTCACCCCATGCACAACAGACCCGTCTTAGAGTTGTTCATGCCTTTTGTTTTGTGGAAATGTGAGGGCTGAAGAACAGAAAAGAAGGGATTAGAGGAGGAAAAAAGTTTTTTTTTTGGAGGGGGGTGGGTAAAGGAGACCCATCAGGAAACTTCATCGCTAACATTCATCTGACGCTCGGCACCGCTGGCCTCGAGGAGGCAGGAACAATAGACGCACCAGCATGACAACATTCCTTAAGGTTAAAAAGTTCAGGGGTCACCCGGTGACCCCCACCCTGCCAATCAGTGGCAGGGCACTAACTCGCTGCCTTTTTGCTTTATGCTTTTGCACTTGTTGAACAGACTCTGCACCTTGTGTTACACGCTGCCCTTTGCTCTCTAATAGACTAAGAGCGCCAAGGATCACTTTTAACTGTTCTGTAATGCTTTTAAATCTGTTTAAACTTGCACAGAGGTGAATCTTTACAACCAGCCAAAGAATTGATGATATCGAATATTCTTTTCACTCACTGAATGCATCAAACCTACAGAGTTCCAACATCTTTGATGTATAAATGCATAAACAAAAAGCAGATGCTGTGACGCATAAGGGGAAAAAATACTGTTATTCTTCAATTTCTGCTGAATTCAAAGCTACTACCTTTAACAGAAGCCTTTTTTTTATTTTCTGCATTATATTCACTAAAATAAAAAAAAAATGAAATCAGTCTAAACTGAAGGAAAAAAAAAGCATTGGCCACAACAAAGCCTAAGGAAAAATGCATGTATAGTAATTTAAACTATCAGGAAAAGAGGATGAACATAAACGTTAAGTTACGGGAAAAATGTGCACATTTATAGTCTTGGCTCTATAGTATCTGTAGCCTATGGTGGGCACAATAATACAACCAGATGTTTTGCAAAGCCAAATCTATATGTGGCAGAAAAGCCTCGCCTTAGAGCAGCTTGGATGTGATTATTGGCCGTATTTAAACCCAGAAAAGAAAAGATCTATGACAGTTTTATATGATTATTCCACCAGGTTCCATTTTTTTTTACCCTATATAAAAACTTCATGTTCAGTTCACTTCAGCACACTTCCAATGAAAAGTTTGACTGCTATTAAAACGGAGCATATGCATGTGTAGGCATAGCTCTGCATGTGAGATCCCTACGGGCAGGTCTGTTAGTAATTATGAGTGAACATACAGTGTGCACGGCAGTGGACATTAAAGTCCACATCGGACCACCCCAGAGACACACCACTGGCACTTCCTCTGCCAGCTTCCTTTACCCGGCTGTGAGGGGAGTGTGTTTTGGGATTTCCAGAGGATGTGCTGGACATTAATTACCCTTCCATGCGAGATATTTCTTTTGGTTCCAAAGAAACTATGTTGTTTTAGGTTTCCCATCACTTTTTCACCCCCAAACACCAACCCCACACACACACATTTATTTCCCTCATTTTAGGTGGGGCAGCCCCTCACCCCCCTTTAAAGACCGCAAAGCCACGGCATTTCAACCTGCACAATAAATCCGCTTACAGTCGAGGAAGGAGACAGCGCTCTCTATTAGTCTGCAGTTAGAAATGAAAGCCTATCTGGCTGCAGCTGTGGAGGTTCTCCAAAGATGGGGACGTTTATTGTCAGGAACAAATAGAGGCCTTTTTATTTTGTCTAGCAGCTGACGCCTCTCCCCACCCACTCCACTAAAACCGCTTTTGTTAGTAATGTAGAGTGGGCCGCTCAGGCAAGAGTGAGAGACCATGAGAGTTTCCGAGGAGCAGGAAAAAAAAAAAAAAAAAAAAAGCTCAGGGTTCGCATGAGATTCGCTTTAAGGGGGGAGCGGCTGTTTGCCATATGGGATAATTATCTGCTATTTTAAAAGATTATCTCCTACATAAGTATAGTTTTTAAACATAAATGAGAAGGTATGTATCGACGTACGTGTGGGTGTGGAGGTGTGTGTGTGTGATTTGATCTCTGGTTTTTAACCTCGATGTAATGCTGAGACCCTTTTAAGCTGTGTTAGCCATGATCTGCCCCCCCCACCCCCCAACCTCTCTAACCTCAATCCCTTCCTCCTCTGTAAGCCCCTCCTGCACACACACACACACACACACCCATATATATATCCAAGCAGAGTCTCTCAACACAAAAGAAATATTCAGCTGTAGAGAGGGGGTCCCTTCAGAGGGCGCGACATTGAACTGGGATGGGGTGGTGGGGGGGGATTAAGAAGAAATGGGTGGCTGACACTAGGGTTGCCATGGCAAAGCCCTCTTTTCCCCTCTCCGCTAACCCTCTGCCTATTTTTCATTTTACCTCTCATTGTGGGGCGAGGTGTAAGAGTGTGTGTGTGTGACTGTGATGGAGTAGGGAGGATGTAATGAGGAATATGATTTTGGTCTCTTATCTAAGGCCCCCGACCGAACAGACACTTCCACCTCGGGGGGACACAGCTAGAGAGTATGTTTACAAGGTGCCTGTGAATGTTATACCAGGTTTCTTTGAGGTTATTTACTGACCAGCCAATGGTTTCCCTTTTCTGAGAGCGCTGCAGACAAAAGAATGAAAGAACGCCGAGGCAGTAACTCAGAGATCCTGCACACTCACAAGATAAAAACCATTTTGTCTGTTTTATTGTTTTCTGAATTACAGCTCCAATGATGTGTCACATTACTCATCCATTGTAGCCAGTGTCTTATCACGCCATAGCTCTGCCTCCCCTTACCCCGCCGGAGTAATGGATGCAGGTCTGGCTTGCATAATGACATCAGCAGCCCTGAGCTGATGAAATAAGGCGATGGATGACCGTAGATCAGCATTTGTCATTCTGACGTCAGCCCCCCCACACCCAGCTACCCTGCTCTCTGAGCAGCCAGCAGCAGTGCGGTGACACTGTTGGGAGTTGTTTGGCCCCCCTCGCTCCTGACAATGGGAGCTCCTGGTCTAAATGGGGGCCACGCCGCAGTGGGGGTCTGAAAGAAGCTGGGCCGCACAGTTGGGCGTCGTTATTGTTCTCAAGATTGGATGTCCACCGATTTGAAAATGGCTCAGTAACCGTGAGAAGAGCGATGTCTAACCAAAGTAAGGATGTCAGAGTGACCAAAAAAAAAAAAAAGCTAATATTTTTAGTTTTTAAGAAAGTTTTCTAATTTAAAGGTAATATTGCTCTGAAAACATAAATAAATGGTCCCTCTGAGATTTTGCCCTCCAGCTTAAAACAACACAACTGGAGAGTTTAGTTAAAGAAAGGTAAATCAATACATCTAGAAGACATTTTTTTTATTAATGTTATATATTGAGGTAATTTAGAATGAAAAAAAACTGAATAAAAAGAAAATGCTAAATATTCTGTTCACTATTGTAAGATTCTGCAGTATAAACCTGCATAACTCTGCAGGTCTGATACAGATCAACATTTATGCCACATCAAGATTATCTGCATTTATGCAACCCCAAACTTTATATGATTGTCATAAAAATAAAAAAATTAAATGCATGCTTTTGGTTGATGTGTTTTTAGTCTGAGAACAGCAGCAGTTATGATGCACTGAATGGAAATGGGAAAACAGTTATAGTTTTTTAGGATGTTTTTTTACCTTCAGATCACCAGTCGGTGCAGATGAGGGGAAAAAATGTATGACTCATTTGTGCATTTCTAATTTTAAACTTAATTTGTACAATGCTTTAGAATGTTACAACTAGGGCTGAAACAATTAATCTGATTAATCATGAGTAATCGATATTGAAACAGTCTACAACGAATTTAGTAATTGATTAATGGTTAACTGGAATATAGCAACTCTAAGACATGCCCTTAGCTGACAGAGCAAGCCATTCAGAACAGTAATTATAACAAAGCTGTAAAAAATTATACATAAATATTTTGCATTTAAGATAAAAAAATATTTTTCATCTGTGAATATGCTCTATCCAAAACTCCTCAAGTGAAGTTTTAGTTTCACCTGGTTTAAATTCTGTAAAAAATCTTGTTTAAAACTTTTTACCAACTGATTATTAATGAGGAAAATAATAATTGACAGATGATTAGCAATATAATTGTTAAGTTCAGGCCTAGCTAAGATAACAGGGTTTCATAGATCCAACCGTCCTTTTTTTCATTTCTAGTTCATCCGTGCGGAGCCATTGGCACAATGGTGCTAAATAGAAGAATAAAAATTCTGAAAAGATCAAAGTTTCTAATCATATCTCTTTATTTAGATGGCCTTTTAATGCCAGATGAAATTATTACTTCCAGAGGTTTCTATAGAGCACAGAGCTCGGCGCTGCTCCCCCTCCACCACTTGTTGCTGCACACATTTATGGACAAAATTGACTCGGAAAATGGCAGATGTGCTTTATCATTGCTAAACCACGCAATAAATGTTAAACAAAATATATTAGAAAATAGGCAGTGATTCACTGATGGATGTTATGTTAACATTTTAGAAATATGCAAATGCTGGTTAGTATAAAAAAGCTTTAATTGGTATAATGTCTGTTAAGATCTCTCCTTTTATATCGTGTAGATATTTTTTTGAAATAATCCTTATACTGGTTTCCTGATTAAACACTTAAATCTGAAGGGGATGTGAATACTTTTAAACTCAACCACACAAAAAAATAATTGTTCTGCTTTGTTTTTGAACCTACAGACAGCAGACATTTCAAAGATATGCATAGATGAAGATATGCACAGCCCTTTCTGTGCCACAAACTGCAACAACAGTCCTGCTGCTTTTACAGGATTTTTCTGAATATTTCTCCTTTTGCCTCGACTCTGTTTTATTTTAACTTTAAATGTTAGCTGAAGAAGTGAAGGATTAAAGTAAAGGGCAACACACCGAAGGAAAACATAAGCTATAATTGGGAAAACCTTTGACTCTGGTACAGCTTTGAATTGGGTGTTCTTTGGAACTTAGATATGATTATAAATATATCTTAAAATAATTGAACAGACCCTGTAAAGATGTTGGATTCTTTCGTGGTAAAAGAAATGTATGTAAATGTATCCTGAGATAATATGTGGAAAATAAAACTCCAAAAATTGTCCCTTTTGTGTTTGTATGAAGCACGATTGCTAATAATCTGACATTGATGTGTGTTTCAGATGCTGTTGCAACCTGTTTTGAACTGGAAGAGAGCAAGTCTATCAAGATGGTTCCACTGCAATAAAGCAGAATCTCAAAGCCCATACCCAAGCCTAAACGCACCTCCTTATTCTCTAGGCCTATAACATGATCAGAACTGTCAGTTCCCCAAGGACAGAACACTCTGCCACTGTCTTGTGTCATTATATCCCCCTGTTGTGCAACCTGACCTCTGTGGTCTTGCCCGAGTCTCTATCCTCCTCCACTCCCTACTCCTCTGCACCCTGCCTTCTCTGTCACATCGGCTCAGGGTCAGGGCCGCTGCCCCGCTTGCCTCGGTGAACATTCAACGCTGTCGGTGAGTTTGGTTTGAGTAGCACATAAACCATCGACCGTTGACTGTGCCCCGCGGCTCGCACTGGCAACGTCACATCTGAGCAAAGAAAATGGAGAAAAGACCAAGAAATGAACAAAAAAAGGGCAACATGCAAATCTCTAGATGGAAACCACATGCGCACATGCTCATAAGCGCCACTTTGTGTTCACTGTACCCAAAGACCAAAGGTCACAATCAACATTCATTGCTGTCGCTGGGTTGGACTCTGTAAGAAAGCTCACTGAACAATGAGTGCAACTGTGGCCCAGATCTGCCTGACTCGCGTTTCAGCCAATCAGACGACCGGATGTGAAGTGCTCTGATTCCTTTATTTATGTACTTCTTGTTTTTCACTTCTATTTTTTGCCCTCTCTTCCTCCCTCCCCAGTGCCGAGAGTTTTTAGAGGAGGAAGGCAGAGAGATAGGCGGCTCAAATAGACTTCTGGCTGCCTGCTTGTCCTCATCCTCCTCTTCTCTCCTCTAATTGATGGTTATGTGTGCAGCATGGGGGAAGGAAGCCGGGTGAATGTGTAATCATTTGGAGTCTCTTCTCCTTTAGATGTTTCATCCCTCTCTTTTTTGTTTGTCTAATTATATACTGAGCTCAGTTAAATGTGTGTCTGTGCTGGCAGGGAAGGCAGATTTGCAGAAAGGGAGGACAATGGAAGGAAAGAGAAGATTACAGCTTTGCAAAAATTAAATTCGAGTTTTGAGATTATTTCTCGCAAAAATTCTCCTGTGCTCCTGCAGATATGTTTGAATAAAAACAACTTTGCAATGTAAAAAAAAAAAAAAAGTATTTACACCCTTTTGATGAAAGACTTAAAATGATCTGTTCTTGAATTTCTTGCTGTCCTATCCTTCCCGGTCTGTGTGTGTTTAAGCTGCTCTTCACGACAGAGGACTTGTCTACTGATCTCAGGGTGCAATGTGTAATTTTACTGCAACACTGAAGCCAGCTCTCTCAAGGGGGAAAAAAAAAGCAGTCAATAATCCGCTCTTTCTTTACGGTCTGTGGCCCACCTTCTGTAATGCTTGTACCGGTTATTCATCTGAGGTAAACACAGCTTAGAGCAGATGTTTATAAACGCCGCTGAGAAAGATTTAATACCTTTAATTCTGACAGAATAAATTATCAGCAATATTTGTATTTTCTAGATGACAGAAAAGGGAGTTTAAATTTTTCTTTCTTTGTTTTTCTTTAAATGCAGAAGTTTATATACGTTACCTAATATGTTTGTCAGATTTGCTACGATGCCTTTTTAAACTTTATAAATTGGGACCAACATTTAATTTTTTTTTTTACAACCTTCCTACATTAGTTTGCTGGAATTTTGGCCCATTCCTCCTGACAGTGTAACTGAATCTGGTTAACGGGCTGCTTTAAAATCAGGTTTTTATGGGACTTTTAGGGTAACTGTAGACCCATTGTGCCCAAGATATCAAGTATCTGGTTGATATCTTTAAAATAATCCCTCAATATTTCCTCATAAAGTAATTTTTTCCATATTGTGGATAACTGCATTCTCCTAACAGCTTTATGAGGTGTTCTTTCATTCTGGGGTTCTCGGCTAATTTCATTTGATTGTTTCATGATGTGAAACAAAGAAGCTGTGTGCCTGAGGTGTTGCCTTGAAATACATCCACAGGCATGCCTCTGATTAACTCAAGTTATTTAAAGGCATAGCTATATAGATGTTTGTCAGCCTTTAGCTTTGAAAAGAAATAAATGCAACGTTCAAAAACAAAACATGTTATCTTCGCAAGTTATAAACGGAATAAGGCCAGTTTAATTGTCCTAAAACAGGGAAAGAAATATAAATCTGGTTTCAGCTGCACCTGTTTTTTCAAATCCTGCAAGAATGTTTACGTGTTATTTGAATAAAGTTGAAATCAGACCAATATATCAGTATTTGAATTGTATTTATCTTGTCCGAATCACACGATTAACCCACACAGAGTATTTGCTCATGTCTCCTTCACCAAAGAGCTTTTTCTGTCATTTAGTAACCAAGCTCCATGCTCATGTCCCTGTGACTATAGTCTCCCTGTATTATTCATAGTAATGCACTCTGTGCAATGGTGCAGAAGAGTGAAGGTGATGTAATAGAGGCTGCAAGCTTCGCTTCGGACTGTCATCTGGGATGAATTCATGCGACGGGCAGAACATTTCAAGTTGGTTCAGCTTTGTTGATGCTGCCAACAACTATCAAAACTAGTTTTTTATTTTTTTATTTTGTTGGTTAGGTCAGTTTTCTATGAGATTATTCGCTTTAGCTCACATTTGAATCATCTGTGCATCAGCTGCAAAAGTTGAGGGGTTAAAAGTGAAATAAATAGGGTGGAAATGCAGATGGAAGTTCACTTGATGGTTTAATGAAGCGTCACTGCGTGGGAGAACCTTCTCACTTCATAGAACAGCTTTAAAACCCAAGAGGGACACAAAAGCTTTTTGTAGGGCTTCTGGCGCCATCTAGTGTTGAATCTTTTTCATGTCTTTCATTGTGTTTGAAAGGAGGAGAAAAAGAACTAAGAAAAGAAGAAAAAACAAGCATTTTTATTCCTTATAATCAATTTTAAGTCCATTCAATGTTTTTACACCAAACAGGATTTTAAGGGAATCATATTTAACTTGTGCATAGACTGAATCCTTTCACAACAAATTAAAAACAATTACTTTCATTTTTTTCCTATATCTAGTGAATTAATTGTGAATTGTTGGGAAAACGTATATAATGATAAGAACAATTTTCAGAAAACTAAAATGTGAAAAGTGTGGGGTGTATTCTAGTGTTTTCATGTTATTTATAATTCAAATAAACAGCTGTATGCTGTAGCTCTTGCTGCATGCTGCACATTTAGGGTTGTTGAAAAGTAGTCCCAGTTTCAAGTCCTTTTCAGTCTCTTACATGTTTTCTTCCTTGTATTTTATTTATCTGCATTTTTATTCATATCAACCTTGACCAGTTCTCTTGTCTGTGCTAAAGTATAATGTGGGTTTTGCTCAGGGACCCAGAATGACCTTCTAAGTTTTGAACCAGTGCTCATCTTCTCAAGGAAGCAAATGTCCTGCTCTCTATTCTCTAGTGATCACAGGCACTATTAAGCACTGGTTAATTTAACTGAGTTCAATTAAAAATGTTTTATATTTATCCAAATAAAAAAAAAATTAAATGTTGATGTAACCCAGGTCACGCATGTTTCCTTAAAGAGTTGCCATATAGGCAAATGTTTGCGGGCAGGGAGGAGCTCCAGTAGCTGTCTCTGTTACGGTGGATCTAAGAAAACCAGATGAAGATGATGCACAGGGCTATCAGCAATATTCTGTGTTTAATGAAGCATCCTGATTTACACAGTCATCACAGATCTTTCCCAGCACCCATCTAGAAAACAGTCAGCTCTCTTTGTCAACTCAGACGTTGATGGCTAAGCTTTCTTTAGTAGTTCAGTCTGCACTGTCCCTCTTTGCAAGGGGGCTTTGCTGTTGCATTATCAGTCAAGTTTGTTGCTTAGATCAACACAGAGATATTTTCTCTCCTAAACCACATCCACTTCTTCCACCTCCACCATGCAAACAGTGTTTCATCTACCACTAGGTTTCATAGTAGAGATGGTTTGCCAAATGTGATGTGAAATGTAGATCTAAGTTAAAATGAAAAGAATGTTAAGAACATTTGTATTGAAATCATCCTTTTTTTTCATTTTGTTGTCATTTTGTCACTGGTTCATATTGATTTGTAGTTTTTTTTGTTTTTTTTTATTGAATTGAGGTTTGTGGCTGTGCTGCAATAAACTTGTGCTGCAAAGTCAACAACAACTAACATCCACTTAGAGGATGTTAGTTGTGGACCCAAATGCAGAGCTGAAGATGATTGCCTGTAAAATTTAAAGAAAGTAAAATACAGAATCCATAGTCCAGACCCAATTGACAAGAAACTCAGGAACCAAAAAAAAAAACAACAAAAAAACTAGGAAACCATAGGAAGGAATAAACCTAAGGAAAGATGAGGATCAAACAATGACTAACTTATACAGGAGGTAAATATATGGGAGACAGAAACAATAGGAGTGATAATAAGTTGATAGGGAGCAGGTGTAGACAGAAGTAACTAGAAGTAGCTAAGGGGAAAGGAGAGGACACTAGGGGCCAACAAAGAATAACCAGGGGAAACAACAGTATCTAAGGGTAACTAGACAAAAATTAAATAAGGCTAAAGGGGAATAATGCTAATGATTACAAAATAAGCAATGACCAAGGGGAAAACTACAAGATAAGAAGAGGGACTGAAAACAACCCAGGCTATGGAAAACATGACTTAAGGAAAAATAACTAACTAAAACTAGACCAGGGAACAAGCAATACCAATTATGTAGGAAAAAGAGATAACCAGGAAGAGCAAAACCAAGAATACAAAAAAAAGGATATATATCTAGAGAACAAGACAAAACAAAGCAAACTTGAGAACCCAAAAAGTAAAAACCTAACAGAAACAAAAGGTGCACAAAGTAAGATTATGATGAAATCACCTGTACGTGTCTGAAGCTCTTTACGTGCTACTTTGAAGCTCTTAGCTGCTTCTGATTCGGCTTGATGTTGTGACTTAATAATTTTAATGTGAATGAACAGCCATCTTTGATGTTTAAAGTATGGCAATCGTTTATAAACTAACCTTTAAACTGCTTCATATTTTCGTCATGTCCACTGTGTTCCCTGGTGTTCCTGATGCTTTGTGTTCATTTTTTTTCTCCCTCCCTCAGACGTCTTCTCAGAACAGCATGTCGATTACCACCAATTTAATTTAGGGTAATCCAAGTAACAGGGGCTGAATACAAATATCCTCCACACTGTTCAGGTTATCCATTAGAAACAGATTTGCAAATCATATATTCCTTTTTTTCTTCCACTTCATATCTCTATATTACATTGGGTTTGCTCTATCTCATAAAGTCCCTGTGAAGTACTTTGATTGTGACTTAAAAAAGGTAGAAAGCTTCATGGATTCTATCATTATGTCACAGTAATTGTCCTCCTCATCCCGCAAACCTTGCTAAGATTAACTGTCAATGTTGGCATGTGAGTGACTGCTTCTGTGTGTTTTCAGCAGTTGTGTTTGAATTCTCCATCAGCAGCGCAAACCACTTACTTCTTTACACATAACACGTTCGGCAACCCGGCCTGTTTTTCTGCTTCATCAGCAAGAAGAGGTAACCTGTTTTTCATATAACAGGAAGCTACACATCTCTGAGCTAGATAAAAAAAAAAGTGAAATTAAAATGTCTTACTGCAAGACAGCCGTAGACGTAAAAGAAAGACCAGCCGAGAAAAACTAAACCCTTGATGTTTAGAAGTGCTTTGCTAAGGCGATCAGTGGCTGAGAGGTGCACCAAATGCAGAGGCTGCCGTACATCATTCATGGGGCCGATCTGGTTTGATCCCGTGCCCTGGGTTATTTACTGCAACTGTTTTGCTTCCCTCTCTGCAATTCCTCAATGCCAACATACTAATGTGAGCATGCCATTACTGTAGCTCAAGAAAAAACAGAGCAAATGGTTGAGCTGATACATAACAAAATAAAACTAACCATCCACAGGAGCTGCTTGGATAGCATTAAATAAAGATGTGACAGCTAATGTTAAAATATGTCTTGCTAAACATTCAGTGAAATATTTAGCAGTCTGTAGATTCAAGGTCATTTATGAGCAAACTATGGACCTTTAATTATTTTGTTTCCATATGTAACATCTCTCTCTCTTTCGATTACCATACAAAATTGATTTTGATCTTCTCAAGCTTTTTAAAAATAGGGGTTAGAAGAGACTTATTTTAGAACAATATCTATATTTCCAGACATAAAATGACAATTCCATCTATTCTCATTAGATTAGTTCAAAAGGCCTCAGATATTTACTGCTTTATTCCTTGTTTATAATAATCTTAAGCATTTCAGGTATGGCCTCGGGACTGATCATCACATTACTCTTTGGCTTTCTTCTTAGGCAGAACTTTCCTTAATTGAAATTTTTTACATTGTGGCCTGTCTTTTTCTTAGTTAATTACTTGAATGTAGTATAACAAAGAAGATTGTAAAAAAAAAAGCAGATAAAGAGTTGGTAGAAGAAGTGGAGGTGGTGTACGAGAGGAAATAACTCTGTGTTCATCTAAACAACAAACTGGACTGATGATGCAACAGGAAAGCACCTGCAAAGAGGGACAGAGCAGACTGAACTACTTGAGAAAGCTTAGCCATCAATGTTTGAGCCGATAAAGAGAGCCGACTGTTTTCTTTATGGGTGCTGGGAAAACTCTGGAGATTACTTTAAATCAGGATACTTCATTAAACACAGAACATTGCTGATAGCCCCATGCATCATCTTCTGTGCCTTCAATCAGAGGCTGCTTCAGATCCACCATAACAGAGTAGCTACTATAGCTACTCAAGACAAAATTCTTCTTTGTCAGCAATACAGCAGAACTTTGCCTTTCCTGGCTAAATTGGATACAATCATATTTTCGCCACAAATGTTTTGTAAATCCAAAATGTTTTTGTTGTAAACTGGTTTATGTGAAAAAGAAAAAAAAAAGAAAATGTATACATTACATAAAGCATTAGCGGATGTAAAAGCTTTATGCGTGGAGCTCATAGTCTTTAGCTTCATGCTTATAGGACCCTGTGATGATGGCAACCCTCGTTATCCTGTCTGGACTTGCCATTTTTTAATAACCTCTAAGTCAATTTATTCATTTTGTTGTGATCGTTATTATCACTTTCTACC